TTTTTTTGTTTCTGTATCTCAGCAAAAATTTTTTCGTCAGATGGTCGCAGAGTGAGCAGCATTCGGCGGATTATGGTGATTTCTATCGGAGAAATGGCAGCATAGCCAGTAGTCACGGTGGTCAGAGCGACAGTGGAATTAGAATTGTTCGATTCCGCAAAGTTGGAGGTTGTATTTGACAGTTGTCTAAACCTTGGTATTTGTTGGAAATTTTGGGAACGAAAATTGTTTAATTGCATAAAATACAAGCGCAACACCGGTAATTCACCGCAGTAAAATGCACCTAATAAAATTACATAAGGACTTGCGCTCAGACTACCTGCTCTTGTCTCTTCGATGTGCACTCTCATGGCTCATATTAACGTGGTCAACTGTGCTGTTTTTTGTACATGTCGCCGAACCCCTGATTGGGCCCGGAGCTTGTCATACAGTGCTATGATCAACTGCCATTTCTTTGTGCTATTCCAGATCTGCGGTGCGATCATTCAGCAGACTGTTTCAGTTCTGAGGCGCCCCATCCACGCAGCACTTCTTAGTCATTCCAGCGGATCCATTCATCTCATTAAGGCTTGTACCATGATCTCGCGCACAAAACAAACAGCCGTTTCTCTGGTTTGATTGTTGCAGCAAGCATGGACGAAACTAAAGCCTTTTAATTTTACAGGCAGCTTGGGTGTTCGCGTTATTGGCGGCAATCATGTTGGTATTTTTGTCTCAGCGGTTCAGGAGGATTCACCAGCTGCGCAACATTCTATCAGGCCGGGCGACCGCATTTTATCCGTCAATGACAAGTCGATGATTGGTGTTACTCGTGAAGAGGTGTTCTTTTGCTAAATTCAAACAATGTTTAATCGAGTTTCTGCTTAGAGTGTAGCTTTGGAATAATTTTTATCCTACCTATCATATGGAACAAGTGATGGGTCTCCTTATTGGAGCATACGACACCCTGTTCCTGTAAGATGAATAACAAGCTTGCGCCTTTGCTAAGATTAACCCTTGTTAGCCGTGATGGCAGCTTCAAGGCATAATTGAGAACTGTAAGTGTAGACCGATGAATAACGGCTTACGGCTGACTGCTTGCTGCACATTGGTTTGAAGTAGAATGTGTATGAGGTGTTGTTGTGAAGTTCTTTTAAAAGTAACATTTTGGTTATGGTGATCGTTCTCACCGTTGATACAGCTGCCGTTTCATTATTCCTCCGTTAAAATGAGCTCGTCAGCACTGCGCATCTCCGCATGGATATGCCTGACATGCGTAGTGGGGTCTTCGAAGGATTCATTTAGCATCGTGTGCTGACTATTGTGCGACTCTGAATTCCTTTCTGCCGCTTCTTGTTC